GGGTTTAGGGTTTAGGGTTTAGGGTTTAGGGTTTAGGGTTTAGGGTTTAGGGTTTAAGGGTTAAGGGTTTAAGGGTTAAGGGTTTAAGGGTTTAGGGTTTAGGGCCCTGAAGCCCTGAATCCTTAACCCTGACGCCCTAAGTCCAGCCCCACGTCCCCAAAGCCCACCCTTTGAGACGTCTGAAGCTTTGGGATGCAAGGTAGCCAACTTGAACAACTAGAGTAAGGGTTCGGGCTTAGGTTTTAGGGTTTAGGGTTTAGGGGGGATATGAAAGTATCATGTTTGTACGGAGCTCTATGTAAGCGCAATGTGATTGCCAATTGTTCAGGCTTCTATAGTAGGAGTCTGGGTATGGGAGTGTTCGACTTCTGTTTTCACGCACAAGATTAAAGTTGGGCCCTTAATCATCAGAACAGGGCTTTGGGGTATGTTATATTTTCATTCTAATCAGGAGCCCCCCCCAAAAATAGTATAGATCCATTCTTACGGCCCCAATATTAAAAGCTCCAGGTTCGGAGGTTTTCGTAGGGGACCCGAATTCCCATGTGCCCCTTTACGGGTTCCGATTCGGGTTCTATAAGCTTCTATGAATTAGAGGACTTATACGGATATCTAGGGATTAGTTTAAGGCAAACTAGCCCTAAACTACACTTCAATCCATACCTCAACCCCAAATAAGCTACCTTTTTAAGGGGCTGATATAAAGAAGCCATAGTAAGGAACCCTAAAAAGGTAGGTTCTTTGGGGCCCAGGTAGGACTTACGGCTATGGTACTGAGAGCTGGGGTTGGGATCTGATGTCCCTTTCGGCTGAGAGTGACGAGATTTCTTCGGAGCTGCCAACAATTAACATCGGGGCTTTGGGGGTTTTGGGCTATGGGGTTCCTTAAAGAGCTCCCTAAAGAGTTCTAGAAGGGGTCTGTAAGGGTTTAGGGTTTAGGAGATGGGGCCTAGGCGACTCGAAGAAGTGTTCTTTCTGTTTAGGGCTTTCATAGGGTGTGTGGTCGGGGATTATAGGGCCTCTATGGTTTTTGTTTTATTATCGGGAGCTTAACCCTAAACCCTAAACCCTAAATAGGTTTTAGTATGGGGGAAGCCTGAACACTATTTATATATATACATATATATATATATATAGGGACTGTAAGAGACATTGCGGCTAAATCTTCAGACCCTGGCGTTAAGCCACAGGGAGTTTCCGAAAATAAGGGTACCTTATGTTGGGGTCCGTATAATAAGGATCCTACTATTTGGGGTGCTATATTGGGGTGCCCTATTTTCGGAAACCCCCACATCTCAAGAATAAGTTAGCCTTAGGGTGTCGTGCTCGAGGGTGAGGCAAACTGACAAAACTATATTCCCAAAACCCCAAACCCCTAAACCCACAATTATATAGGGCTTGCTTGGACCCTATAACAACCTACCTCCGCAAGATTCCATTTATATAGTATCCTCATACAAGTCCTGAGACGAGGTAGGATGTTTGGGGCTAGGGTAGGGTTAGGATTTCGGGTTTCGGGTTTAGACACTCGCACTAGGACAAGCCTGGCAAGGTCTAGGATTAGGGTAGTCCTATTAGGGTCCCCTTTTCGGTCCCCAATATAGTACGGCACCCTTACAGAAAGGACCCTAAAAAGGACCCCTAGTTTAGAGAACTACCCATTTAGGGCTTTGGGTTTCGGGTGTAGGGACTTACAGGTTACAGCCTTAAGAATCGACTTCCAGTTTCCTAGATTACGGGTTTAGGGTTTAGGGCTTAGGGTTGAGGGTTTAGGGCTTAGGGTTGAGGGTTTAGGGCTTAGGGTTTTAGGGTTTAGGGTTTAGGGTCACTCTACACCCTGGATGATAAACCTTTGAACCCTCTAAACTCTAAACCCTAAACCCAGTATCCTAAGAAATTGAAGGTCAACCCTTGGGATTATATGGGGGTGACCACACACCCAAAAAGCTTAAAGGTTACCCCCTAAACCCTAAACCCTAAACCCTAAAGCTTAACGGTTCCCTCCTCTACAGCTAGGCTAACCTCCTTAAATCCTGGACCCAACTCCTAAACCGTAACTCCTGGGTTTAGGGTTGAGGGTTTTAGGTTTTAGGGTTTAGGGTTTGGGACCCAAGTCGGATCCGCTCGCAGCGCCTAGGTTCATGATGAAGCCATACGGACAGGGATTCCGCTTCCTTGGTCACACCGTTTCGGGCCAACTGCTTCCGGGTTTTCAGGCTTGTAGTGCTTAGGTTTAGGGTTTGAGGTTTACGTACGGTTTTGGGCTTAATGTATGTAGGGGCCTAAATTTAAATACTTAGAATAGGGTTTTGGGCCCAGGATGCTATAACTATAATAAGGAACCCCCCAAAATAGTGTTGGCAATTATTTAGGCCCCTACATTATATTAAACCACCTGGACAAACCGCCGGTCCTAGGAGCCTAACCTGAAGGCTGTTTAAGGAGGACAAGGGTTTGACGGTTTGACAAACCCTAAACCCTAAACCCTAAAACTTTCGAGCTGAAGGTATCTGCACCTTTCCCTGGTCACGAGGATGCGGGGGATTTTCATGAAAAGGCAGGACCTTGCTATTTATTGTGGTGCTTCAGTGTTGGGTATGGGGGTTAGGCTTCGGGTTGAACCACCGAGGATACTAACCCCTAAACCTCTAAGCCCTAAACCCTAAACCCCTTAACCCTGCAAGGCTAGCCTAAGAGGAATGATAACATATAACCATAATGATAACAACAATGCTAGTATGAATGTTCAGAGTTCAGCATTCGGATTTTCGGAAAAGAAGCCCTCCCAAATGTTGAAAGAATACCTTTCTGGGCTTACTGTAATGTTTAGGGGTCTTTGTGTTTGGATGCAGTACCCTGCTGGTTTCAATCGCGAAAGCCCTGCCGACTGAGACCCTTACCCTAAGGGTCCATGTACCCAAAGGACCCAAATACTTCCTCTAAGGGTACCTTCAAAGGTTCCTTCAGGGCTCGTTTTACCTCTCGTTTTAAGGGTTCTAGAAGGGCTTAGGGTATTAATTAGTAGGGTCCATGTACTCATATAGTATATACTTTGGCCGTGAAATATAGTCCCTCCATTAGGTACTTTGGGGCCAATGTATATACGATATGAGTACCAGGGACCCATGCGGTTCCATGCACAGCACATGCGTCAACAACTTACGGCGGACTCTACCGGCTTAGGGCTTGCAGTAGATGCCGTAAAGTCGGAAGCCGACACCCGAAACCCAACACTTTCATACTTGATATTTGGTGATAAATATGAAGAATGGCGTATAATGAACTAACAATAGTAATAACAATAACAATAATCATAACAATGATAATAGTATGAGATACCGGTCACCCTGAAGCCCAAGCCCCCCGAAGGAAGAGCTGATGAATTAGGCTTCTGAAGACAAAAAAGTATGGGATCCTTCGAAAAACCGGGCGCCCCAAAAAAAGGAACCCCAACGCTCTAAGGCCCTGTGCATAACACCTTGCAACATCCTGGTAAATCACCCGGAAAATCTGTTACAATCCAGAAGGAAGTAACAACCCCGCAAAAATGCGATAAGCACCTTATAAACCCCCTAAACCCTAAACCGCAAACCTTACGAGACCGAGCTGCTGCAGGCATTTGAAGACTTCGCTGGGCTTGGCCTCCACCGAGCGCTCAGCTTCGGGTGAGGCTTAGTGATCCTTCAAGGGCTCCTTTACAGGTCTCCTATATCTGTTTAAAGGGTTTAAGGTTTAGGGTTTAGGGTTTAGTGATCCTTCAAGGGGTCCTTTACACTGTAAAGTTTAGGGTTTAGGGTTTAGGGTTTAGGGTTCCTTTACAGGTCTCCTATATGGGTAGTTTTCTAAATTTGGGTCCCTTTCTGGGTCCCCAATATAGTACGGCACCCTTATAGAAAAGGACCTCCAAAAGGGACCCTAATTTGGAGAACTACCCATATGCTTTTTAAAGGGCGCGGCTTAGACACGTCGAGTAAGTTGACATGGGACCCGAGACAAGACAGTCTGGTGCTTGGTAGGGAATGGATCCCTATGATAGTCCCTTAAGGTCCCTTATAGTAGTCTCTATAACCCATTCCCCCATTCCCTACTAAGCACCAGACAAGACAGCTGCTGACCCCCACATCAGGGGGAGAGTTCGAGCGGTGCGAGGCGGGGTCTTTAGTGCCGCCTGGTGTTTGGAGAGACTCTACTGGCTCCCTGTTGGAGCTAGGCTATAGGTAACAATGATCATAGTTATTCCTTATTGGGTTTTGCTATACCAAAAATGTAACATTGTATCCAACAAGGACTCAGTGTAGACTAGAGTTTACCCTCTGGGCTTTTGTGTGACTCGATGCGAACTCTGAGTTTGCATACGAAGGAGGGCGGTGGAATGGATTGTGCAAGGACCTTCGCCCCTAAATCCTAAATCATCAACCCCAAACCCCTAAACCCTACACCCCTTTTACATCCGGACCTGGTGAATGCCAGCACCCCCCTGAGCGCAGGACCAAGGACTCTGTCGAGGCACCAGCACAGCAGGAAAGGAAGACTAAATCAACAGCTTCATCCCTGCTCTCTCCGACTAGGTTCCTGGTGACCACTACTTGATAAGGGTACCCTTTTTCCTAATATTGGGTTTTAATAAGGAGACACCAAAATAAAAAGGGCAAAAGGGTACTACTCAGGAACCTAGCCTAAACCTTAAACCCATAAAGCCCTAAACCCTGCTCTCCCCTAAACTCTAAAGCCCTAAAACCCTAAAGCCCTCAAGAACCCTAAACCCTAAACCCTAAACCCCAGTAGTCGACAGTCCCAAGTGATGCGTTCTTATGCAAAGGTTTCCGAAAGCCCGAAGTTGCCTTATACCGGGTCCGCTTAGGGCTTAGGGGTTTAGGGTTTAGGGGTTTCAGCACTCACAACTGGGACAAGCCTGGCGAGGTTCCGAGTACAACGACGACAGCACATTGGCCAAGGGCTGGCACGTTCACCACATCCCAAAACTCACACTCTAATTAAATCCCAACACATCTAGGCCATCACACGATCTCCCTCCAACCGTCACGATCCTCCTGAGAGCTACCTGTACGGAGCGCTCCATCTTTCTCACTCACGCCCCTCGCTGAAGCATGCACACGCGTCATCAGTCATGACGCATGGCATGTCCCAGCACAGGCTGCATAAACGGGGCCATATTCCCGAGTCCAGCATTAGATGACAGACGCCACTGGCCACGCAAACATTGGTCAACGATGTACGTCCGCCAGCAAAACATGCATGATGTGCCCAGATACTGCGCATTCCGAAAAGCCACAAGACCTCCAGACTGTCTGTAACCAGGCGTCATGCAACACATGCAATAAATTCCCACTTTTTAAAGTCCCGAATGCCTGACTTGTGCCAAATTCCCACTTCTCCACGTACTTCATGCAGCGAATTCCCACCCATGCATATCCTCATGCAGACAGATTCGACAAAATGTCCCGGCTGCTCATCTGTTGTCTTCCTGCGCCATGCAGAACCTATTTGTCATGCAGAAATCCTCACACAGGAAAGCATCGTCGTCGCCTTATGCAGAAGGCTTCGCCAATACATTCCAGATCTCAAGGAGTGCTATTGCGCATTGTAATGGCCCCGGGGGAGTTCGTGCCCCAGTCAGTAGCAGTGCTTGCCATCCCAGAGTGCCCGAGCGGTGTCGCACCTTCACCCAACTTCAACGTCAGCGCCTTTTGCAGAAGGCCTTTGATGAATCCATTTTGCATGAGTCCTTCGAGGGCTCGCATGTCCCTCCTTCTAGAGCTCCAGAGTGTTTGTATATCACGCTGGCATTCAGACACCATCGCCCCCGTTCAATGTCAGCGCCTTTTGCAGAAGGCCCTCAGCGAGTCCTCGTGTTCCACCAAGCGTGTTTGAGTGTCGCCATGGCGTTGCAGCGCCAGTCCACCACCGTCCACAAACACAGCTTTGCATGAGGCCTCACGCCCCGTTCCGTCGGTTCAGAAAAAGCATCTCAGGGCCCCAGTCGCTGTCGTAGAAACCTGGTCCATGGCGCTGGCTTCCGCGGGTTAGTGGTTTCTATAACCAGGGGCTCGGGAGGGCGGGCTTCCTATCGGAGGCGAGACGACGGCACGACATTTTGGCCCGTTTCAGGGGGGGGGGGGGAGGGTCCGTGTTCCGGCGAGGGGGCGAAGCCCATACCCTGCATCCGTGTCGTTCTGCTGCCATTCCAGATCCTGCGCCGGGTTACGATTCTGGTTGCTCAAGGGTTACCAGGAGGGGGGACCACGAGCACTGGGCTAGCTAGCTGCAGGATGAAAACTCACGAAGACCGGTACATCGCGCTTGGGCTTTGGGTGGAGGGCTTCAGCTTTCGGGCTTCGTGATCACATACCCAATCTCAGCACAGCACAGTTCAACACCCTACCCAAAACCTGCATCCCCACCCCAGAAACCTGAAATCACGGACGGCTGCAGCACGTTGTACTCAAACTTGAGAGCTGTGGGGCCTCGTGTATTTACACATGTTACCCTGTAGACTGCGGGGCCACGTGTATTTGTACATGTGTCCTCTTACCCGAGAGCCCAGCGCGTAACACTCCATCGTTTTGCAGCATTGTTCATCCTGGTGTGCCCTAGTGGCCTGTCATGGACCATTATGGCCATTCTCGATGGCCTGGTCGTGCATCAAATTCTGAATTCTCCAATTCTGCTGTGCTGCACATGCATACATCGTGTTGTTCACGTCATTCACAGGCAACATGCAACAAATTCATGGCATCATGCACTCAATTCATCACAAATTCATCAATTCNNTTGTACATGCATGCATTAGGCCGGGGCGCTACACCCCGCAAAAACTGCGACGTGCGCAGCCCAGGATTCCCAAAAAACGTGCAGCGCTCTTTCCGAGACCTGACATGCCCGCCGCACTGTACGTTTTACGTTCCTCAGCAGACAGCAACATGAACTCCAAACGACTCGAAGGAGTTTGCTCTCCGATGACGTACGAGACATCACGAAGATCTATCGACTGATCGATCACGACCCGCAGCATGTATGCGAGGTTAACAAGAGCGCACCTTCCGAGGATGGCTAAAGTCATGATGAGAAGGAGTGCCCGGACCACCCATCCGTTTTCCTTAAGATCAAGGACATGACCGATCATCGTAAAAAGTACGTAGTAGGCCGTTGTGCCACTCGTACTGATGATTAAGTCATACGCTGCAACATCAAGGACGCCTTTGATCATCATCATGCAAGCATACAATGCACCTTGAGAGTACCCAGCTGTTGCCATCCCCAAAATGAACACCGTAAACGCCAGGTACGAACTCCACGATATATAGTAGAGCCAGGGCTGCCCGAAAAGAACCATGAGGATCAGCTTGCCCACCAAGGTGGAAGTGGGTGAGCCTCCGGCTCGCGCATACTTAATGAACTCATCAGACCAGCTATCACGACGAGAGAAAAACAGAACTGAGTAATAAATAAGCAGAAATGACCCAACGAAAATTACGAAAGTGGGTTTGATGAGCCCAGAAAGCAAAGTCCCGATGAACCTCACGATCAGAACTAGTGCTGTGTTTGGAAGACGCAGCACTCGTCCCGCAATCCCGAGGTCACTAGAGTCCAGACAAACCACAGTGACAACTGCAATTACTGCACCGATATAAAAGCAACCAATGATTCGACTCGTTGTAATGTTAACAGCAATCGTAATAAGTAAGTTAGTAATCATGCCGAAATCAAACAACAATGGACAAACGGAAGTAAACAATAGAATAGAAAGACCAAATAGGTACGAGGTCCAGGATGAACGGGAACCACTGACAGTCAGGAAGATAGTAAAGACCTCGCACCACACTTGATGGAAAATGAAGATCAGTATCGCGCTTACGCCAAGACTTGTCAACTCATCATAGGCGCACAAAGACGACATGTCGATGAGAGCGCCTGGTGTGATAAGGCCAACCATGTCATTGGCGATGGCCAAAGGCACAGACGCGAAGTCCATGACGACTGCTCCAATAACAGCCACAGGCAAAGTCTTCTTCGTAAAGCCTGCGAGGAGCATGTCCAAAAGATGCTTAGTGCAAAATTGTGCTGTGGGCACACTCACCGATACTCGGCCACACGTACGAAAACCGTCTTTGCAGCTCCCTGTGATGTTTGTCCTGTTTCCTACGCACAATTGGTGATAGCACGCACGCACAGCGGGTAAAATGGCACTTGTCGTCGTCGTTGTGGTCAAGTTGACCAATGACGTTGTAGAAGTTGTCTCCCAAGTAAAGTTAGGATCAGGTTGCCATGTTTCAACTGTAAAGTTAGAATCAGGTTGCCATACTTCAGCTCCAGTCGGTGTGACAACGACAAACAGAAATAAGAGCCCACTCAAACACAGTCGTCGAGTGTGCCTCTTTGTGCCACCTTTTCGAATTAGCGCCATGAAAACACATATTAAGAACAGCAAAAGGATAAGAGCACATAGCGTTCCAAGTATATCAGTCATCGTGACATTCATAACGTCACTAACACCACGCGTCAAAACGCCGATGATGTCCATTGGGCATGTCCAGTCAGATGGTGACGTCGCGCGTCCGGTGGCCTTAGCAACTCCGAGTGGAAGCTTCGCTGCTGCCACACCGAAATCTCTTTCGAGGCTACACACGACAAATTGGACGAAACCGATGAGTAGTGACACCTTGAGAGGTGCTCCAGCAGCATGTGCCCCAAGAGGTGCTGCCGCAGTGGTGATAACTCGAGGAACGCACCCGTAGCGATGAAGTTGTGAACAAGCTACGTGGTCCATGTTAAGGATGCACTCCTTCCCATCATCACCGAACAGCATCACATGCATCATGTTTACCGCCTCTATGGCGATAAACGTAAAAGCAAAAACGAGTATAGTTGCTCAACTCGACGAGAAAAACGAAAAGGCGGTATGTACACGTCCGCGCCATCCTGGTGCAAGTCAGAAGCCTTGACCTCGGTGCCGCGGAGAGATTCGGGCGACCTGCTTGTGAACAAACGATGCGTTTCAACGAAAACCCTGGTCCTATGGGCTCCCGCAGAAATGCAACCAAGCAGGAAGATAGTCAACATCGCGATCAACGTAGACCCCGAGAGTACGTGTGCACGGGCTGCTGTCAGTCAACTTGAGCCAAAATGGCTACGGTTTAGGGGTTTAGGGTTTAGGGTTTAGGGTTTAGGGTTTAGGGTTTAGGGTTTTGGGGTTTAGGGTTTAGGGGTGTAAGGGTTTAGAGGTTTAGGGTTTAGGGGTTTAGGGGTTTAAGGTTTAGGCGTTTAGGGGTTTAGGGGTTTAGGGTTTAGGGTTAACGATCCTCCTGCCTAAACGTCGGCATAAAGGTCCCATAATTCCCAAAGAACTGATCGAGTACACAACCCACACAAGCCCGCAAACAAATAATTCCCAAGGAGCCCTACCCAAGATTTCCACCCAAAACCTGTTTTTTGGAGCCATGAACCCCCCAAAATCCTCCCTAAACCCTAAACCCTAAACCCTAAACCCTCATTACCAACATGCTTCCATGCTGAAACCCTGTTCCAGCTTTTCGGATCTTGCTGTCATCGGAAACCTCGAAGTTCCGGGCTTAGAGTGTAGGGTTCAAGGTTACAACCCCTACCTTAAGAACCCAAAACCCACTTCTTAGTAGGTTCTTATGCTAAACCCTAATATTGGATTTATAAGGACCCTACGAAAAACTAGGTTTTGGGCTCTTGAGGTAAACCCTAAACCTGCAGGCTTGTGAGTTTAAGGTTCATTGCTGAGGATTTAGGAATTTTTTTGCCTCCTACATGGCTGAGCGAGTCGCGAAGTAGGGTACAGAGGTCATACCGGTAAAATCAGAGCAGGCTATGTCTGTATGCCAGGATTTAGGAATCGGAGTTTAGGGTTTAGGATTCAGGGTGTCGGGCTTAGGGCTTAAATACATTTTTTACGCTCTCGCAACTCGGTCTGCGCCACAAGACGTCTCAACCCTAAACCCTTAACCCTAAACCTCCAAACCCAGAAACCCTAAAACCTTCACCCTTGAATCTAAACCCTAAGACCCCCGTAACCCCCGAAGCCCTAAACCCTAAAGCCCAAAACCCCTTTTTTTGAGCAGGGACTGCAATAAACCCTAAAACCTCCAAACCCTAAACCCTAAACCCCTAAACCTCCAAACCCTAAACCCTAACCCTTAACCCTGAAGCCCCAAAACCGTTTGCGGATTTTGGGGTCTCTTCGTTAGATCCCGGCAGAGAGGCGGGGCGGGCCTTACAAGGCTCCCGGAAAGTCTGAGAGAGCACGGCCTGCTGCGAGCATGCGGAATGGGGCTTGGGGAGTGGAGTTGGGGTTTAGGGTTT